TCAATAAAAGGTTAGGCAAATTTGGAAAAGCGATATTCACCTGGCAATCACAAAGGAATTTGTGGAGATCCCAAGCGGCCTTAAGCAATTGGATGCGAGTCTCAATCAACTCAAGGAGGTCAGCCCAAGCCTCATTTACGCGATCCTTCCATTCAGCAATTTCAGCAGCCTCGCCGTGGTTCTGCTCTATCAGCGCGTCACACAACTCATCAGCTGCCTTAACTCGGGTCTTTCCCAGTTCATTGGTCTCTCTCGCAAACTCAGAGAATCGGTCACGCAGGAGACAGCAATGCTCATAATCAGCCCCCAGTTCATGACTGCTAGCAACCATAGTTCGTTCGGCAATCCAAGCCTAATGGGCCATTAAAAAAATGTGAAGTTTAGTTTAGGCTGGAAAGAAAGTGTTTGTGCTAGTGTCAAAAGAGAAAAGATGTACCTCAAGATCCAGAATTTCACGAAGCAGATTGTACAGTTTGAGAAGTTCATCAAGACGAGCCTTACGCTCGAAGCAGAGCTCACGAAGACCGGCATACATCTTGTCAACTCGAGATTGCTTAGCAGCCACAGTCTCAGCCTCAGGATGCCCTGCCTCTAGAGCTCGAGAGCGCTCACCCAAAGCACGAATCTCAGTAGCGTAGTTCTCAACAGTTTTTTGGAGATGTTCGTGCTTCTTCATAGCATTATTTGCTCCTTGTTCATCCTAAAAAGTAGGGTAATAAGAAGCTAATTACTCTCAACACTAAGCTTGAATATGGAAAATATTAAAATTGAGGGATTTGCGATTCCATGTTTTAGCAATAAGTAAGAATTAAGAAAGTCCAGTGGTTTTTCCTTAATGATTCAGAACGCCTAAGGCATTATTCACAACAGATATGCAAAAGTATTCAGATTTCAGAGCTTTGTTAGTTTTAATGTAAAACACTCAAGGTCACACTTAAAGTCAACGATCAATAGATGTAGATGATTAATTGTTCTGAATGCGAGTATGTTCTTATTAAAGAAATGAATAGCTTTATCGGGAAATTAAGACTGTATACTATTCTACAACCCCTCAGATATATTCTATCATCTTTTGCTAGTTAAATTACGCTATGCTGCCGAACGATAACCAATTTGGCATTAAATAACATGGAAAATTTACAGTGGATAAATTTATGAAGTGGTGTGCACGAC